CCTGGGCGCTAAGCAGTGGTGGAGGGGCCTGTGCTGGGTCTCTTGGCCTCCAGATGCTGGAGGGAGTTCTGGCTGAGGTCAGGCCTGAGGAAAGAGCCCCATCCCACCCTCTGGGGCCTCCTGGGCCCCCGTGGGTCCTGCTCTTGCAGCAGGCCAAGCTTTAGGGTGGGCGCTGGGGCCACAGCTGGCACCAGGGCTGAGTCTCACAGCTCCATCTTTGGGGTGTAATGGTAGTTGAACTTCAAGGGGGATGTGAGCTGGCTAGGAGCAGGCAGTGGACTTAAAGGGCCTACTTAGCAAAGTCTCTGTGGGGCAATCTGGGAGATGGAGAGGATCTCAGCTCACCTACCCCCTGCCTGGACCACCCAACCTGGACAGGGCCTCCCTCAGTCCCCCAGCATCCTTCCATCTTCCAAATTTGAGCTTAATGTGGTCCCTCAGTGCCGGATGATCCAGAAGGGACAGTCAGTAGGAGTCAGGGTCCCCCAAGGTGTCGAGGCAGAACCAGGCCTAGGTCCCTGGACTTGTGACTTGCAGCCCAGTGCTCCTCCAGCCACACTAAGGGTACACATCAGAAGTAGGTCCTCAGGGACCCCCGCCTCCCCAGCCTTGCCCTTTAAACTGTTTCCTGTCCTATCTGGGAGCAGCTACAGAAGTTTGACATCCCGACCCTGTGAGGCGTCCATCCTCAGCCTTAAAAAGAGAAGGCCCAGCTGTTCACACTCCACTCCCCTCCTATTGACGCCAGGCGCAGGTCCTGGGGAGCTCACCCCCTCAGAATATTCCTCAGCCCTGGGGAGTGCTGGGAGGGCAGACAAGGAAATTGTGCAGGGAGGGAGAAAGCACTGCTGGTCTGACGGAGGAGACTGTGTCCCAGCCTAATGGGGGGAGTGGAGGCCCCACCCTCAAGGAGTGCCTGATGTGACCAGGGCCCCAGAAATGGGATCCTCAAGTGCTGCATAGAGGGGGTGGTTGTCCCAGACGCTCACTTGGTCTTGTCCTTAAGAACACCAGCATCCGCTAGCACACTGTCACCTCCTCCTCTCTTCTCATTCTTTCCCCTCAAAAATCTCTTACCTAAGCAAAAGAAAAGGTGTCAGGTAGCAGGTGGTACCAAGGAGCAGAGGGGTTCCTGGGAGCAGGGCTCAGGGGCCGGCTAATCCCTCATTCACTCACTCACTCACTCACTCACTCATTCATTCATTCACGCACACACTAAGCAAGCATCCGCTGAGCACGCCCCTGGGCCAGGGCCCATGATGGGTGTCCGTGCCAGGGAAGAGGTGGGCAGACCTGGGCTCACGGCCCCACCTGCCAGACTGGAGGACTGAGAGGGGCAAAGTTGAACCATGGATGGGAAGGTCTTGCTGGTCATGGCAGCCCCAGCCTGAGCACAGCCTGGCACAGTCCATACTGAAGGAAGGAACAAGGGTCTGAGGGCTCATAGAGGAGCGCATCTGACTCAGTGCGAGGCTCAAGAGAGGCTTCCTGGAGGCAGTGGCCTTGAGCTGAGGGTAGAGGTGATAGGCATTAGCCAGGCTGCGGGGTGTGGGGGGGCAGAAGGAGGAGAGGAGAGGAGTTCCAGGCAAGAGGGACAGGAGTCACAAAGAGCAGGCTTTTGGAGGAGATGTTTGGCGGTCCCTGGCCACCCCAGTCCTGTCTGGTGATGAAGTTCCTGGGCTTGGATCTCCCTCAGTTCCTGGGAAGACTAAGATCCAGCCAAGCAGAGGACGAGGCTCACCCTCTGGCAGGATCGTGGGACCTTTCCTGGAAGCCTTCTGGAGGGATAGGTGGACAAGGCCGTGAGATTGGCCCTAGGGAGGTTCTACCTGTCACCCTGCCCAGCAGTGCCTTCCTCCCATCGTCCGCCTTCCTGGCACTTGGGGGACGCCCCATGGGGCCCAAGGTCTTCCTGCACTGCTCTGACCCTGTCAGTCTGCGAGGGGACAGTGAGTTGTACTCTGAAAAAGACCTCTCAGCCCCCGTACAGGCCCACCCAGCAAAGACCCTAGTCGTCCCCATTTTATCAATGGGGAAACTGAGGCCCCCAGAGTCAGGTCACATCCTTAAAGGTCTCAGGGCTGATTCCAGAGTGTTCCACTTTGCCAAGTACTATCATCTTGGGCTATGGCAGCCAGTTGGCTTGCAGGAGGTGAGAGGGAAGTGAGGAAGGGCTTGGACTTCAAGACATGCCAGGCAGGAAGCCTCTAGATCAACACAGCGGCTTGGACCTCCGTGGTTGGGGGCCGCACCAGGATGGGTGGGCATCCACCCAATCAGACCTTTTTTGTTTCTTACACTCCCAGCCCTACAGTGGGAAGTAGAGAGGGCCCTGCAATGCCTGTGGGAAGGAACCTCAAGGCTCTGGGTCTGCTTCCCCCACTGCTGGCCTCTTCCCTGGAGGCAGAAGTAGCTAGCTCCAATCCAGAGTCCGGGGTGGAGCCAGGATTCACATCCAGGACCTGATTCCCCAGTTTAGCATTCTGCCCGCTTGCCTCGCTGCCCCCACCCACCAAAGCAAAGGCTTCCGGAAGGCGGGCTCCAGCGTCTCCTTGGTTGCTACGCATTGGCTTCCAGGGGTCCCCCACTTCCCACCTGGTACCACTTTATACTCTTTGACAACCCAGGGGACAGGAAAGAAACAGGCAATCTGAGGAACCTGGAGACATCTCTGTCGTTTGCCTCCTCTGGAGGGAAAAGGATGCTGGATGACAGAACCCAGTGCTGGGGGCTTGGGAGCTGTGAGGCACTGGCCACCTGCTGGGGTGGAGGGGGTATGTGTTAGGGGACCCAAGGGTCTCCTAGTGATGTCTGTTGAGAATGGAACTGCCATCTCAGAGGGGTCATGGCTGAAGAGCCCAGCTTTCATCTCTCCTTAGCCTAGGGGGAGGGGTGAGCTGGTGATCAGGAGATCTGGGTGCTCAGACCGGCACGTGGGTACCCAGCGATATCCATTCTGCCCACCCATGCCTGCCTCTGCCCCAAAAGGAAACACCAGGCTCTCCCAGGAGGTATCCATGGCCCATCTGGCTCTGGCCAGCTGCTCTCACCAGCTGTGGCTGGTGCTCACTGCTCACAAAGCCGGCTGTGCCTTTCCACCAATGGGGCTGACTTCTTGACTCTACCTCCATACCCAGGCTGGAGCCAGGCTTGCACAGAGTGGCCTTGGCACAACCCTGCCCCCTGCAGGAAACACCCAGGTCCGTGCCAAGGAAACCACCCTCCTTCCAGTCCCTGGCAGCAAGGTACCCTGAGGGGTGGCAGCTGGTTTTGTTCTTTCATTCCAAAAAGGCTGCTGAAAGAGCTTGTCCCGGACCCTGCCCCTCCCCGAGGACTCCCTGGCTTGGCCCTGGCCCTGGCCTTCGTGAGGGCATTCCTCCTTCCTCTGCAAACGGCATTGAGGCCCTACTAGATGCCAAGTTCTGTGATAAAAACTGAGGTTACAGAGCTGAATCCACCCCAAAATCTGCCCTGGAGATGTTCAAAGTCAAATTGGTGCTGGTGACTGGGGGGGCAGGGGGAACGGGACAGACTTATAAACAGACAAGTGTACTCAACAACTCTCTGGAGGGTGGGGGGTTGGGGGGGTCAAGGGACCTGCAGAAAATTCTAGAATATTTGCTCTGGCAGGGCCATCAGGAATTCTCTCACTTTGTGGATGGGAAAACTGAGGCCTGAATGTGAGAGTGACTTGGACAAGGTCACTCAGTGAGGTAGCAGCAGGCTCTCAGATCCCTGATTCCCAGCCAGGGCCCTTTCCACGGTACCAGGTACCCTTTCTGGTTTTCTGTGCCCCCACTCCCATCCTTGTGTTCGAACTCCGCTTTTGGAAAAACATTTGACTTCTCTATCCAGTGGTCACCCAAGAGGTGCCTGCTCAGGCCCAACGAGCCGGGCGCTGCCAGTCCTTCCTCCAGAGGCGGTGTGGCCTCCTCTCGGCCTAGAATGGGGTGGTTGCGTTTCTCTCTCTCTCTCTCTATCTCTCTTGCATTTTTGTGAATCTAATGATGAACTTACGCTACCACACTTTTCCCTTCTCTTACACATCTTACCTACTAAAGGAGGAAGTGCCACTTTATTGGTAAGTGGACGTTAACCAAGAGGGACTTAAAAATCAGAACTTAAAAAAAAAAAAAGAAAGAAAAAGAAAAGAGAGAAACAGAAAGACAGTCGGGTGCTACTGACAGCTCCACAGGTCTCTGCAGGGCCGGAAAACAAAGAAAGAAAAATGTTAACAGAAAAATGTCAGTTCCCCAGGAGTTCAGACATTGTTTTTGATTTTGGTATCTAATGACATTTGTGGATTTTGTTTTTTATTTCTGTTTTTCCTCCCTTTCTTCCGTTCAGTTTTGAGTTCAGTTGTCCCGCCCCGCCCCCACCCCCATCTGTGTGCCGTGTGCCCCCTCCATCCCTCACCCACCCCCACGCGCTGGGGGGCCTGGCCTGGTGGGCTGGCCCTGGCCTGGCCTCCCCGTGCCCGCCCTCTCTCTTCTCTCCGCCGGGATCGTCCGTCCCATCGGGGGGCAATGCCAGCCCCCGAACCCGTCCTGGAGCCCCCTCCCTTTCTGCCCCCTCCCCCCACCGCTCCGTCCCTCTTGTGTTTTGCATGCCGAGAACCTTGCATGAGCTGCACTGTTGAGGCCAGAAGGTGGACACTCAGGAGAGGCAGAGGCAGGGCAGGCGCGGGGAACCGTGTGTGCGATGCTCCGGGACTGGCAGCCCCCGGCCCGGGCCCGGTGAAAGCCCCCTCTCTTTCTCTCCCCCCACCCCACCCGTCCGCTCTCTCCCCCTCCATCTCTTGCTCCTTTTCTTGGTCTGTCCTCTTTCTCTCTCTCTTCATCTCTCCTCTTTTCCTCTGTCTCTGTCTGCTGCTTCTCTAACTTCTGTCTCTTTCCTCCCTCTCTCTCTGCATTCGCGATCTCCTCTCTCTTCTGTCTCTGCTTCCATCTCTGTCTCCCTCGCCGCCCCCTCCGTGCCCTCTCTGCCTCTCTCCCCGCCAGAAGCCCAGCTCGCCCTCGCCCAGGGCCCGCGACCAGGCGGAGGCGGGCGCAGCCACGCCGCCCGCGCGGGGCAAGGAGAGTCCGAGCCCGCGCTCGGCGCCGTCGTCGCAGGGCAGAGGAGGCCGCGCGGCGGGCGGGCCGGCCAGGCGGCGGCGGCGGCGGCGGCGGAGGCGGCGGCGGCGCTCGCGGTCCTCTGCGTCCGCGCCCCGCCGCAGGGGCCGCCGGCGCGCCCGGCCCGCACCGCCCAGGGGTTCGTCGCGCTCGCTCAGCAGGGCCCGCTCCAGCAGCGACTCGGGCGGCGGCGGCGGCGCCCCCGGGCCCGGGCCCGAGCCCGGCTCCGAGCGAGGCCACGGCGGGCACGCGAAACGGTGAGCGCGCTCCGCCCTGGGAGATGGGGCCCCCTCCCGGCACTGAGCACTGTCCCGGCCCCGGGGAACACCCTCCCCCCACCGACTCCTTCCCCCCACTGATCGCTCCCCCCACCAACCTCCAGGGAGAACCCTTCCCCCCCACCGACCCCTCCCACTGATCACGCCCCCCACCAACCTCCAGGAAGCACCCTCCCTACACCGACCCCTCCCCCACCATCGATCACTCCCCACACATAACGAGCCCTCTCTTCCCCTCGCTGATCACTCTCGCCCCAACAGAGTTTCTCATCCCGATCGATCCTTCTCCGCCCCCCCCAGCCCCTCATCCCCGCCAAGGAACATCCTTCTCCTCCTGACTCTCCTCCCCCGTTACACTCACACACAACCTCCACCCCCTCACTAACCCTTCCCTTCCTCCATAAACTTCTCCCATAGAACCCTTCCCCTCTTGAATCCCTTCCCCTCCACTGAGCCCCCTCTCTCCCCAGCTGAGCCCCCTCCCTGTCCCCGGGGCCCCCTCTCCCCACTCTGTCCCGCTCCTTCACTGAACCCCCTCTCTCCCCAGCTGAGCTCCCTCCCTGTTCCCGGGGTCCCCTCTCCCCCCACTAAGCCCACTTTCTCCCCAGCTGAGTCCCCTGTCGCCATGCCCTCCTCCAGGCCCAAGGAGAGGCCCCCGCGCGCCCGGCCGGCCAGCAACTCCCCGTCCCCGGGCGCGCACGGCCGGCACGGCGGCCCTGAGGAGAAGAGCTCGTCGCGCAGCCCGGGCCCGCACCCCCGCTCGTGGAGCTCCAGCCGCTCGCCCTCCAAGTCCCGCTCGCGCTCCGCGGAGAAGAGGGCCCGCAGCCCCAGCCGCTCGCCGTCGCCCAAGAAACCGCTGGGCCGGTGAGTGCGGGCCCGGGTGGCGGCGGGGCCTGGCGGGGGCTCTGGTGCGCGCGGCGGTGGGGCCGGCCGGGGCGCCTCTCTCACCTTGGCCGGGCCCGCAGGGACAAGGACGGCGAGGGCCGCGCGAGGCACGCCGAGGCCGAGGCCGCCCGCGCCCGGCGCCGCTCCCGCAGCTACTCGCCCATCCGCAAGCGGCGCCGGGACTCGCCCAGCTTCATGGAGCCGCGGCGCATCACCAGGTATGGAGGGGTCTGGGCCAGCCGCAGGGACCCCGGGGTGCAGGGAGGGGTGGGGCTGACGGAGAGGAAAGGGGATTCAGTGAAGGGAAGGGGGCCCAGGGAGGACACAGGCCAGCACTGAGGTGCTGGGGACCGGTGGGTCTCAGAGATGGAGGACGGAGGTTCATCGAGCGGAAGGAGAGAGGCCTCAAGAAGGGAAGGGTCCCCCGTGGGGGCCTGAAGGCCCATGGAGGCGAGGGGCTCTGTACTTGGGTCTGGGTGGGCAGCAGCAGGCATGGAGTTCAGCTCTGGACGATTCCAGCCATCTCTCCTGGCTCCCCTCCCGCCCTCCTTCCCTCCCCACATTCATCTCCTGGCAATGACGTCTCCTTTTCTCCTTCATCTCAAGGTCCAGCCTGCCGAGTAGCCTGTGGCCAGCCTGGGGGCCAGGCGGACCCCCTCTCCACAGGCTGCAGGGGAGATGCCCATGTGAGCTGATATGGCTCTGTTCAGCTGTCCGTCCGTCTGTCTGCCTCTCCTTTTCTCACTAACCTCCCAGCCCCCTGGGGAGTTTGGAGGAGGAGGCACCAGCAGCCTGGTCTCTAGCATGGTGTGGGAGAAATGTCCCTCCCACTTTCCCCTCACGATCCAGTGGGGCTGTGCCCAAAGTGTGGCTGACATGGCAGAAGCCATGATCAGAGCATCTCTGCCAGAACTGGAGGATCTGGGCCTGGGTCTCCAAGGGAGATTATAGTCTGCATCACACTGAAATCCCTAGACCCATGACATGGGGTAGAGGGCCACAGGCAAAATTCTGAGCCTAGCTCTGCCACAGCCTTGTGAGATCGACGTGCCTCTCTGTGTCTTGGTTCTCATGTCCGAACAAGGAGCAGGTCTCCTTGAGCATCTTTTCAGCTCTGACATGGTCTGATTCTCAAACTAGCCCTTCCTAGTCCTTGATGGTCCAGAACACCAAGGGAGGAGAGGGCATTACCTCCTCTCGGCACCCCCAGAGCTAGAGGCCAGACCCCCAGGCTTGCGACACCACCCCCAAGACAGGTCACACACCCCACCTGTATGCGGTGGGGGGGTCCTAAGACAGCCGGACCCCCAGACCTTCCACCTGGCACCCACCTCAGCCCCTCTCCCAGGCTGCCTCCTCCTCCCACTAACGTACACCTGTTTTCTTCCTCAGAATTAACCCCACGCCATGGGGCATTGTCGCCCCCTTAACCACTCTCTTTTCTTTTCTCCGGGTCACAGCTTCCTGGCTTCAAACTAACTCCGGGCCGGCGGGAGGTAGCTGAGTGAGGAGAGGGGTCCGGGCCGTGGGCATGGGCAGCAGTGGCCGGGGGTCTCCTCCTTCTTCCCTCCGAGTCACCTGAAAAACCCAAACCCTCGATTCTATGGGGGACAGAGAAGCAGGGCTGGGCACTATCCACAAACCCTTCCATGCACAGAAGCTACTGCTTAGCGTAGTTAATGTGAGTTGTCAATAGTTTAAAGTTTCACTCATACCACAAATATTTATTGAGCATCTACTCAGATCAAGCAGAGACTTGGTCCCCTTTTCCTGCAGACAAGTGAGGAGGAACAAAATGGTCGACATGAAATTGGCAAATAACCACTGACTGTCCAGTCTTGTTTGGGCAGGGGCACTACAAGGTCAAGGCTCGGGGGAAACTGAGGCAGGGAAGCCCTGGCCACTGCTGGGGAGGGGCTGGGGGCCTGAGCGAGGGCCCACCGGGCAGAGCTCAGGGCTCTGGATGACCTGTAATCGGCTTCTCCTTCCCGGCAGTGCCCGGAAGCGTCCCATCCCCTACTACCGGCCCAGCCCCTCATCCTCCTCCAGCTGCCTGAGCAGCGACTACTCAAGCCGCAGCCCCAGCCGCAGCCCCAGCCCCGGCCACAGCCACAGCCACGGAAGCTACAGCAGCCGCAGTCGTGGGACCCGCAGCCGCACTCGCAGCCCCTCCCGGACCCCCAGTCCCAGCTACCACAGCCGGAGCAGCTCAGAGAGCGGGGGCTTCTGAGCCCAGACACACACAGCTTGGTGCCCCCTGGCACATGGAGAGGCGAGGAGTCAGGTCCCAGGACCGAGAGGGGCCTGCTCCCCACTGCTACAAAGAGGTCCCGGGGCCAGGGAAGACCTTGAGGGTGGGTGCCCTGCAGACAAAGAGGAGCTGGGTTCTGCTGCTTCTAGAGGGTCCCCACCCCCACCTCCTGCCTGCCCACCGTGTCCAGGGAACAAAGAGCCGTTACGAACACAGGGATCCCCTGTCCCCGCTGCCTGCTTGATGCCAGCTCACCAGGCCAGAGACCTCAGCTCAGTGGACCCAGGGACGCCTCTGAAGGTGCCAGACCTGGGAGCCTCCCATACCCACTCCACAGGGTCCTCGGCTCCTCTCTGTCATTGGGCAGACAAGGAGGTGGGACAGCAAGCGGGATCTAAGTTAGACGGAAAGAAGAATGGCCTAACCCTTGGTGCACCACCATCCAGGCTGGGGAGCTGCTTCCTTCTGAGCTGGCCACAGGAGGACCCTGGCTGAGGGCTGGAGGCTGGTCCCACAGCCTCCCCTGGCCCAGGAGTACCCAGACTAGGTGGGCCCCTAAACCCCAGCCTGAAGGATCAGGGAGCTCCCTCTTGGTCCCACCTCTCCTCTCCAGGCCAGGCTCTCTCCTCCAGCCCTCACGCCATGCACTGGGCCAAGGCCACACCAGCCTGGCCTTCTGCGTGATACGAGGTGGAACACACAGACCACAACTGCATCTGACCCTGAGATCAAAAGGGGTTCAGGTCAGGAGGTGGAAGAGAGGAGGGGCAGAGGAGCCTGTGAGGAGACGGAAAGCAATGTAGTCTGATGACCCAGCAGGCCCCGGTGTCCCTGTGTCTGGGTCGTGGGCCAGATGGCAGGACAGGGTCACAGGCATAGGATAATGTGTGCTTCAGGGCGTGCCCAAGGGAGCACTTCCTCCTCTTGGTTTGGTGGGGAGGTGGCCAGCCAAGGCTTCCCAGGGAGGGGTGCTACAGCCCTTCGGAGAAAGGGTAGGATCTAGACTGAGGGCCTTGGCCTGGGACATCAACAGGGAAGCAGTGGCCCTAGCCCTCTTCTGCTGCTCCCAGCCCCCTCCTCCCGGGGCCCTCAGGGATCTCACAAAGTCTTCCTTGGCCCTACGGGGCAGATGCCCTGGGCTCCGGTGGGGGGAGGGGTCTGGGGTCTTGTCCGGGTTCCTTTCTCTATCCCCCCCTCCCTCTTTCTCCGCGGTGCGGATAAAAATTGGACTCCAATAAAATACTCGGTGCCCGGATGGCAGGTGGTGAGACCAGGCCTCTGTGGATTTGGGCACCTGGAGAGTTGGGGAAGGTGCGGGGTCCTCAGGTCCTTCCCCCCCCGAGAAATGAGAAGGGCTCAGACTCCTCAGGACCGCAGAGAGAAGAGCTGGCACCCTGGAACCAGAGCCCAGTGCATCCATCGCCCTGCCTCCGTGCCTGAGTCTGCAGCACCTGCAGCTCGGTGAGGAGGAAAACAGGGACCTAAGAAGAACTTCCTTCCAGCCTGGAGACCCTGTGGGCTTCGAACACCCCCACCCCCCAACCCCCACAGCCCGCCCGGCTTCAGCAGTGGATGAGGCGGGGGCAGAGAGTGGAGGCACAGGCCAACACAGGACCCTGCCTACAGGTGGGGTGTCCAGAGCCACTAGAACACAGCTTGGAGCATCCTGTGGCTGTGAATCTGGCCTCCCACCCTTCCAGCTGTGGGACACACAGGACTAGAGGAAGCTAAAAGGAAATACTGTCCCGAGAGTGCTGGGCTCAGGGACTGGCAGAGAGGGAGCATTGGAGAAGTGGCCACTTAAGGAAAACACCGTGTGTCTGGCCCTGGCTGGGCACTAGGATGGGGACAGGAGAGGGAGAGTTTAGAGTGGTAGATTTTAACCTTGTTTTGAATCTACTGCTCTTAGGGAATCTGATGAAGGTTGGGAACCCGTTCCCCAGAAGAAGGTGCACGTGCCCACAATATGGCGTGCAATTTTGGCTCTCAAACCCTGAAGACTTTATGGACCTGCAAGTTAAGAACCCTGGTCCACCTCTGCTGAGGGGGCAGCTGACATGTCCAGGGCTCTGATCTGTGTGAGTTGTGCTATAGGACATGTCCTTGGTCTGGTCTGGTGGGGACAGCACGTGACCCCACTCCAGTTTCTTTTCCCTCAGACTGGAAGGGGTACCTGAGGGAGCCTTTGGCCAGTGGCTGTTTCTGATCTGAGGGAGCTGTTCAAGGAAGCACCCCTCATCTCTAACCCTTTATACAAGTTCAGCAAAACTGGGCCTCAGGCAAGCGGTTGGGGCTACAGGGAGAGCAGACTTGGCCCTGCTCTGGAGATGCCACCTCTTGGACAGGGGGCATGAAACATACCCAGAGGTAGGTATAGAAATTCAGCCTTTCTCACAGTGAGCCCATAGAGGCTCCCTCTGCTGGCCCATTCCGTTCCCTAACTGCCCAGCCTGACTGCCTTCTGCTCCACACCCACAACCGGTGCCACTTCTTCCCTTTCTGGCCCAACAACCCTCAGACCCCTCACCTGGTCCCCTCCCATGCCCGCCTCCTCACTAGCTGGCCAGCCTCGGTCTTGCCCCTCCAAACCAACCCACTATATCTAAAATGCAAATCTGACCATTCATTTGCTCATTCCACACATACTTATTATGTTATATAACTATATATTATTATTGCACACATACTTTCTACATGCCAGGCACAGTCCCTGGTTCTGAGAACACAGTATTGAATTAAGGAAATAGGACTCCCTGCCCTGTGGACCCTGCATCCTGTGACGGAGTCCATCAGCTCCTAGGGCTTGGAAGGCATTCCGAATGGCTCCACCTGGAACTGCCATCCTTTCCTCCTGCTAGCCTTCCAACCTCCTCCCATCACTGTCCCTATCTCCAGTACACCTCAGTCCAGCTGACCCTCCTCCCTGGGCCCCCATGCATGCCCCTCTCTACCTGCACAGGCTCAGGTGAGCTCATGGTTCAAGGCCCAGCTCAGGGCTGCCTACTCCAAGGAGCCTTCCTGATCCCCAGCTGCAGTGGCCACCCTCGCCTCTGGTTCCTCCAGCTCTGGGTCTGTTCCTGCCTTTAGGGCCCCAAGCTACTGTTCCAGTTATTTGTTGGCATGTCTATCTCTCCCTAAATCTGTGAGCTTCTGGAACCCAGGCCATGTCTTCTCGGTCTCTGCATCCCCAAAATAGGCACCCTTTAAATGTTTGTTGAATGAGTAAACGAGTGAACGAGGGAGCCAGGGTTCCAGTGGTTCCAGAAACCTTGAGGGAGGATGGGGACAAAGGCAAGGCATGGTGGCACAGCAAGACACTAGAGGGCGACAGAGAGAGGAAAAACTGCGGGTTGGTGGCTTGTCAGGAGGCACGAAACAGGCTGGACAGAGAGGAGAGCACCCTGCAGGGGCAGGGTCCGTCTCAGGCTCGAAGCCCGATGCTCTTGTCCTCAACACCCTCCCTGACTATTTGGGGAAGCGGCACCTACTCCCCGGGGAAGGATGGGGAGGATACCAGGCCTCTGTCCTTCCCACAGACTGAGGGTTCAGCCTCTGCTCTGTACCTTGGGAAAAGGGAAAAATACAACCAGGAAGGCAGGCAGGAAAACAGGAAACTGCAATTCTGCATCGGGTAGTGAGGAGGAGGAGATGGGGTGGGGGTGGGGGAACCTTGCCGGGACGTGGGCCTTTGGGGTACAGTAGGCCCTCTCCTGGTCTCTCCGCCAATGGGGGCCATGGGGACCCCCCCATCCTTTCCCTCCCAGCAGCCAGAAGGCTGGATAGGGCTTTCCTGTGTCCTGTTTCCCTTAATTGGTTTCCTGCGGCCCCAGCCGCAGGGGAGCAAGCCACAAGTGCCCTGTGCCCAGTTTGGGTGTCCCAGCTGGCGTCCCGCATCCCCTGCATCTCTGAGATGCTCTTGGAAGTCCCCCGGCCTCCCACTGGCCTCTCTTGGCTGAGGGCATACTCAGCAAAAGGGTCCCAAGTCCAGGCCCCTGCCCTTCCTCCTCCAGGACCCCTCCACCTGAGAAGGGCTCTCAGGACACCTAAGACATGAGGTGCTCCAGGCGCAGGGCCTCCCACCTCCACAGCACCACAGGGGATGCCACGTCTCCAGGTCCTCCCTCAGCCCTGCCTCCACTCACCATACACACCCGCTCCAGCAGCATTAGCGGGCAGAGCAGGCAGTGCAGGGGCCCTGGAGGGGGAAGGACAGTGCAGGAGAAACTGTTGATTCACGGTGCTGGAAGGAGCCTTAGAGAACATCCAGTCCAATGGTCTCATTGTACAGATGAAGAAAATGAGTCACGGGGGCCGGCTGCCAGCCAAGGTCACAGAGTGAGAGACATGCAGATCCCTAGACTCCCAAGCGAGAGAGATTCTTTCTGCCGGACAGTGGGGCAGGTGGGGCCGGAGGATGGATCCCCAGCCCTTCCACCTGGCCCCTCCTTGGCGCCCTCAGTGGTGATGGAGGCAAGGTGATCCCAAGGCCAGCCAGAAGCCAGAGGCCTAGGGGATTAAGCAAACTGGAGATGGAAATGGACTCCCCCGAGGGGCAGTGTCTAGATGCTTCCAGAAAGACCTGGTGCCCCCCCACCCCCATGTGCTCTAATTACTGCTGCCCACGTTTTTAGTTCCCAGCAGGCCCAGCGACTGGCACAATCCATCAGCTGTCAGGCCTCTCTGGGGAGCTGGGGCAGTTGCCTGAAGACTCTCCCACTTTCTTTGAGGTGGGGCAGTGAGGCAGGGACCGGCTCAGCGCACTTGGCAAAGATCTGCCGAGGGTGTGGCTATGTGGCCAAGGCCTTGGGCACACTGCCAGGCGAGGAGGCTGGTCTTAGGGCTGCTGCAGAGTACCCCATACTTTGGGGCTAGGGCTGTGGGGAGGGCCCCTTTGATTAACGAATCCCAGACCCTGCAGGGCCCACCTTCCCCCACCCCCCATGGCTTCTGGGAAATACCTGGGGGTGGACTTGTCCTCTTAATCCCAGAAAAACTACGCCTGGCAGCTCAGTGCCTGAATGCTAGAGTGGAAGATTGTTAAAGAATACCTGGCCAGGCGGGCAGGTGGGGCTGACGTCAGCCCTTGCTCCTCTTTCCAAGCCCTGTGCCTGGATGCAGGGGTGCAACCTCCTGGAAGAAAGGCACCTGGGCAGGGCTGGAGGGACCCCAGAGAGCCTGGTCCAATCCTCCCAGTCCCCACAGGCAACTTTTGGCTGCACACCTCACCCTGAGCCTACAGCCCTCCCTGGACTGCCTGGGAAGTCTCTCCCCTGCCCAGAGACCAGGAGGCCTCATGAGAGACTTGGCCATTCTATAAAGCGCATACAACTGGGCAGTTCTCACTAGTCTAAGTCTCAACATGCACAACGAAAGGCCCTCTTCCCTTAATAATGATGGACACTTCCTGAGCACAGGGCACTTCACACTTATTATTGCATCTGAGATTCACCACCACCCCACAAGATGAGCGTGTTAACAGTCACGTTTTGCAGATGGGGACCTGGGGGTTCAGAGAGGTCACAGGCCAGTGAACACCAGCACCCAGGTTCAAGCCCAGCCTGTCTAACCCCAAAACCCAGTTCCTCCCACCCCCACCCCCTCTTACCACCACCAGAGCCACCCTTGTTCCCTACCTCGTGATTGGCAGGGTGATCTAAGAGTCCCTCAAGAACTGCCCCTTGGAGGACGGATGCAAATTCTCGGTTCTGCCTTCCCACCCACTGTGGGCAGTGTGCCAGGAGGGGTTGCACCCCGGGTTGCACAACTTCCCCTGGCTGGGGCAGCAGGAATGGAGCCTCCCCACCCTGGTTTCAGGCAAGATGAAGGGAGCTATGAAAGGAGCTTGTGTCTCAAAGTGCTGGCAGCCAGCCAGGCCGGCCCCCACCCAAAGCGTCGCTGGGCCTGGCAGGGCCACACTTGAAAGCATCCATGACCACACCTGACAGCTCCCTCTAGGGTGGGGCACCTGGGCTCCAGTCTGGGCCAAGGTGGGCAGGAAGGGGCGGACGAGGGCCCCCCAGGCTCCTGACCTCACCTCGACTTTATAGAGCTGGGCATGGGTGGGGCTGGGAGTGCCAGGGAGCAAAGGCCTGGGGCTTCCCGAAGCTGAGACCCTTGGGGAGCGGCCAGTAGCTCCCAACTGAGACCCACTGGGCTCATGACATGATCCAGCAAGGGAGGTAAGGCAGAGGGTAGGGGTCCTGTCTGCCTCCCACCCTTGGTCCACCAGAGCCCCAGGAGCTCAGAGGCCTTTCCAGAGGTGACCTCAGATTCATGGGCCAGCCCCAGCTCCTTCCTGATGGGGAGCAGGTGGGTAAGAAAGAAAAGCATCCAGGAGCTCTCTCTCGAAGAGGAAACTGAGGCCCAGAGAGGGCATGAGACTTGTTGCTACCCCTGGCTCATCGAGGTGAGTGGTCTGGAGTCTGGCTTCCAGCCCCTCAGGTATCCTGGGCAGTGCAAGGCCCCCTGCAGAACTGGCAGGAGGTCAGCCCCAGCCCAGCCCCGGAAGAGGGACAGCAAGCAGAGTGGGCCTCGGAAAGAGAGGAACTGGGGGACTGCACGGTTGGACCCCAAAAGTGTGAGCCCTGGGCACTAGAGAGGCAAGAGGCTTACTCTGCTAGTGTCCCAGTGGAGACAGTGGGCAAGTCACTTAATCTCTCTGAGCCTGTTCCCTCATCTAAAAAGGAGGGATCATAGGCCATAAGTCGGGAGAAGGAAGGCTCGACCGGGTCATGCCTGTGAAGGCAGGGGAGAGAGAACGTCAAGATTATGGTGGGAGCTGGGGGCAGTGCCCTCTCCCAGAGTTGGGAGATAGAGGCCTGGATCCCATAGGTGATCAGAGAGAGGAGGGGAGGTCACCACCTGGAGCCCCCTCTCCCTTTGTGCCACCGCAATCATCAACAGCAAAGGAGCTTTGAGATCCTAATCTGCAAAAAGGGAAACTGAGGCCTAGAGAAAAGGGGCCTTGCCCCGCATCACAGGGGGAGTCAATGGCAAAGCCCAGACTGGAGTCAAGGTTGCTGCACTTCAGTTCCCAGTGCAGGGCTCCTCCAGGAAGGACACATACAATGGGGAGACGAGAACCTCCTCCTGACCTCTCTCAGCACTGAGCCCCGGGACACGCACCTGCACCAGCCCCCCTGGAGGGAACAGAGAAAATGGCCAGACCCACACGCCCACTGCCATTGCAACAGGGGCACACACACATTCTCCCTCCTCCTCCCTGCCTTCCATTTCAGGTTGATGATACTAACAGTAAACAATAATTACCATGCACCAGGCCCTGGACTGAAGTCTTTACTTGCATGAAGTTGCTGAATCCTCACACCAACCCAAAGATGTAAGCATTATCATCACCATCATCGTCTCCATTTGCCAGATGGGGAAACTAAGGCACCCAGTGTCTAACTTGCACAAGTTCCTCCAGTTAGTGGCAGAAGCAGTCTGGCTCCAGAGCCCACAGTCCCAACAATCATACCAGCCTGCTCCTTAACATATTATTTCACAGACAACCTGGGGTTCAAATCCTGGCTCTGCCACTTTCTAGCTGCGTGGCCTGGGAATAGGTAGCCCAACGTCTCTCCACTTTGTCCTTCTAGACAAAAGGATGGGACTGTCCACAGTCGGCCGCCCAGCGCTTTAGCGCCCAGGCCTGCGAGCGTCCAGCAGTGGGCACTGCACCAGCATCGGTGCTCCAGTCATTTGTTTTCCTGAGCAAGAGAAGGTTCCAGATGTGGGCCGGGCCTTCCTCGCCCCGCCCCCGCCGGGGTATGCAGGGGGAGGAATGCGGGGGAGGGGCTGCCCCCAGCCCGTCATTGCCTTTAATAGAGACCTGAAACACCGCCTGCTAAAAATACCCGGCTGGAGGCCCATAAAAGCGCCGCGGGCCCGGAGCCGCGCACTTCTCCGAGCCACAGCACAGCCGGACGCGCAGAGCTGAGCCGGGATGACCGAGCGCCGCGTGCCCTTCTCGCTCCTGCGGAGCCCCAGCTGGGACCCTTTTCGCGACTGGTACCCGGCCCAGAGCCGCCTCTTCGACCAGGCCTTCGGGCTGCCCCGGATGCCTGAAGAGTGGGCAGAGTGGTTCCGGCACGGCGGCTGGCCTGGCTACGTGCGTTCGCTGCCCGGGGTGGCGATCGAGGGCCCCGCCGCGGTGGCCGTGCCCGGGCCCGCCTACAGCCGCGCGCTCAGCCGGCAGCTGAGCAGCGGCGTCTCGGAGATCCGGCAGACGGCCGACCGCTGGCGCGTGTCCCTGGACGTCAACCACTTCGCCCCCGAGGAGCTGACCGTCAAGACCAAGGACGGCGTGGTGGAGATCACTGGTGAGCCCCCCGCCCCGCGGGGACGAAGCTGGCGGGGTGGGGGTGGGACGTGGGCGAGAGGCCTGGGCCGGGAAAACTTAGCCAAGGACTGCTGGCCAGAGCCGTGGGAGGGGCCCGGCCTCCGCACGCTGCCCCCTGGCCTGTGCCCCCTGCTCTAGAATGGGGTCTGCGGTAGTTCCTAAAGGTCTCTTCGGCCCTAAAAACGCGCTATTAAGGGAAGAAACGCCCCTTTCCGGGGTGAACCCCCAGCCCCACCCCCAAATGATCGGGTCTGGGGCCTACCCGCGCACCCGGCCTGCGGCCAGTGTGGAGAGGACGTTATCCCCGGCGCTGTCCCTGACCCTAGCTCGGGTCTGCGGAAGGGGCGTGTGCACAATCTTGGCGCCGCGCCCCAGCCCCCTCCTGAACTTTCCAGAAGCTTCTCAGGGCCCAGGACAGTCCTGGGGCCCCCAAATTCCGTAGTCAGTCTTCCTCCTCCATGAATCCCGGGGGCCAGGAATCCCGGCCCCGCGGTGGGGCAGGCTTGGTGGTGGGCGGGCCTGCGAGGCGGCCTCTTCCTGAAAGCTTTGCTCTCCCTCCCCTTCCAGGCAAGCACGAAGAGAGGCAGGACGAGCACGGCTACATCTCTCGGTGCTTCACCCGAAAATACTCGTGAGTCCTAGTACCAGATCGTGGGGTGGGGGCCGGAGGAGGGTGCAGTGACAGACCGGTGTGTAACTCCTGTCCTTGCTCTCTGCATGTCCAGGCTGCCCCCAGGTGTGGACCCCACCCTGGTCTCCTCCTCCCTGTCCCCCGAGGGCACTCTGACCATCGAGGCCCCGATGCCCAAGTCAGCCACCCAGTCGGCGGAGATCACCATCCCTGTCACCTTCGAGGCGCGTGCTCAGCTGGGGGGCCCAGAAGCTGGGAAGTCGGAACAGCCTGGAGCCAAGTAAAGGCCTTAGCCCTGCTGCCCACCCTCAGTAGCGACCACTGACCATCCCCACCTGCCAGCCTGTATACTCTTTTGATACGTTTACCTTCTGTTTTTCTCAAATAAAGCTTGAAGCACCTGCCTGCCCCTGCCTCAGACCCTGGTGTTTGTGGAGGCCTAGGGGTTGCTGCCATTTGCTGGCTCACACGTTCATCATCTTTGCTGAGGGCCTGCTGTGTGCCAAGCCCCAAGCTGGGCCCTGTGGCTACAGTGGTGTCCCTCACAGGGCCAGGTGTGGGAGCGGGGAGACCAGGAGAGGCGCCTGGCCCAGGCTTTGACACTCAGGGGCACCCAGGCTGGGGTCAGGTGACAGGAAGGGGGACAGAGCAGGGCTGAGGGAGGGAGCTTCCTGGGAGCTTGGAGTCCCTTACGGCCTTCATTATCCTTCCAGAGAGGGGCAGGACCACGTGGATGACTTTCTGAGGGAAGTTTCTGAGGGGAGGTGGGCCTTGTCGAAGGACCCGTTCCCCCATGCCCATGCCTGCAGGGTGGGACCTGGGCTCTCAGGCCGAGGGCGGCCTACAGAGAGTGAGGGCATTGTGGCCTTGATTTTGGAGGAAGACAGGCAAAGTCCTAATGAGGAAGGTGGTCACTCCAGGAGGGCTGCCTTGAGTGGCCCAGGCAGGAACAGTTACACCCACCTTTGTCTGCCCTCCTTCTACCCAGCACCCTCTCATCTGACCCACGAGGGGTTCCGAGGGACCTGGGGGAGAGAGAAAGCAGACGGGGGCTTTGGAGCCCGGTCTCAAGTCCCCAGGATTTTGAGAGACCCCACCCTGCCACCATCAACAAGGTCCCAGAACCTGAGGCTGTGGTGAGACATGCCCCGGTTCTTTTCTAAGCCCACAGCCCTACTTTCCCAGGTCCCTGGGAGGAGCAGCACCCCGCAGGAAGGGCCTGGAGCACTCACACACACTACCCCCCCTCAGTGCCCAGCTTCTCCATTTCCACTCCCTGGTACGGGCTCCCTGTTGGGATACCACTATGTGGAGCGGGCGTAAAGCTAAAGCAGGCACCAGCCGTCGGAGGCCTCGCCGGACCTGGAGGGAGGCCAATGGGAAAATAAATACATGGAACAAGCTGGCAGCATGGGTCTGGGCCTGTCAAGCAGGGCGCTGCCCGGTCCACCAGCACTTCCACCCTCATTTCCTGAGCTCCCATCTCCTAAATCTGTCACCCTTCTCCCCGACACACACATGCCCACGTCCCGGGGGCACAACCTCGAGCCAGCCCGTCCAGTTCTCACCCTCGCTCTGTTGGCCACTGGATGGCCCTGGCCTCCAGGGGCGTGGCTGCATCCTCCAGCCTAGTCAGAGGGAGCCATAGCAAGGCTGCCAGCTCCTTCGCCGGTGCCCTTGAAGCGTGGGAAAGCTGGTCCCGAGCCTTTGACAAGGTGATCCTCTCGTCAGCCCTGCGGGGAGGTGCCGAGCCTTTGACCAGGTGATCCTCATGTCAGCCCTGCCAGGAGGTGCCGTTAGTCCTGCTTAACAGCTGGGAACACGGAGCCTCAGAGAAGTGAAGAGACTTCTGGTCCCGGGTCCACACAGCTGGTCCTGAAGTGGGCAGGGGAGGGCAGATTAACTCACACACAGCGCTGGGGAGAGAGAGGGGGTCTCCACAGTTTGAAGTCCTGCCCAGTGAGGCTTGGCAGAGCCTCAGGAGGAGGACAACGGGGATACAGCTGAGCCTGGGGACCAGGGCCACTCAAGGGGGACAGGCTGCCAAATGGCCTGGAAAGAGCTGCCAGAGGTCTCACACCCAGAGTCCAAGGCCGTGGCCTGGGGCAGACAGGGGTCAGTTGGTGCTACAGGAGTGGAGTCCAAGGGCAGCAGCTTTGAGGTCCTGGGGGCTCAGGCATCATCTGGGACACAGCTGGGGCATGGAGTAGGTGGGAGGGGACGAATTCAGTCCCTGCAAAGGAAGCAGGCCCCAGTCTCCAGTAGAAACTGAAATAGGAGTCAAGGAAACTCAGATGCCCTGTGGTTCATTGGCCTGTGCAGACGGCAGGAGGGGAGGCTAAGGGTGGGCTGGCCCTATGCCCAGAGCTCAGCTCAGAAGGCATGGGATGTGGGGCAGCACCTCTGGACAGAGTGGACAGGGCTGGCTGGCTCAGGTCTGCAGGTCTCCACTGGGAGGGGCTGGCAGTGAGCACTGGGAGACCTGATGAGTCCCCACGCCGCTGTGGTGGTGTAGGAGCAGTTCCAAGCCTCTGCAGGCCTTTCCCTGATTTTCAGTGGGTCCCCCTCAAAAGGCCTCTGATGTCCCTCAGGTCTACAGACTCAGACGCTGGCCTTAATTCAATGAATCTAGCATCTGGGCCCCTCTGCTCAGCTGAAGGGTGTCTGAGGGCCAGTGCTCCATGCTCCATGCTGATGACGAAGGCTCCCTCAAAGACATCAAGCCCCTGTGGCTGCTGCTCACCTGTCACCAGCTCCAGCTCCCCCAGGGGTCCATGGGGTACTCAAGCCACCCTCAGTTCCAGGCTGATCCCTGGGTGTCTCCTTTTCTCTCCCTCCCAGTTGTGAAACCTGCCCTTCCTGTTGGCACCTCCTCTGGGCCCAGCAACCAGCCAGTTGGTCCAAGTCCCTGCTCTCAAGGGGACAAGTGGAAGAAACAGCTCAGTGACAAAGCATTATGCCATAAGAGAGGGGCTGGGACATCCTGCGGGATCTCAGTGGAGAGGGAAAGAGGGCTTTCCAGAAGTGACCCTTGTGTGATAGGCGAGGAGGAATCGCATGGGCAAGGGCTGGAAGGCTGGCACCTTCAGGCTGGAGAAGCTCCAAGAGGAGAGGGCAAGTGAGGGAGGCAGGCAGGGCCCCGTCTTGGAAGGCACTGAAGGCCATGCTGAGTGCAGGCTACCAAGTCATCAAAGGGTTTAAGCTTCTCTAAGCTTTAGAAACAAGATCCAGACCTTAGAGGAGAGTGGCTGGGAGGGGCCAGCTGAGAGGCAGGGGTCAGTGTGCTGAGGTGTAGTAGGCATAGGTCCCACCAGGGGGAGGGGGAAAGGGGGTCCTGGCCAGGATGTGGCAGCAGCAGGCTCTGCAGTGTTGGGGGACAGACTGGAAGTGGGGGTCCAGGGTGGTGGTGGAAGGAGGGGATCTGCTGAGGTCGTGACTCCCTGCCTGGGGCTTGCTGACCTCACACTCTTGTAAGGTTGGGCAGACCCCACGCCCTGGCTGCTGGGGAGTAAATTGTTTCCAGATACCATCATCTTCCCTGCTACGGGATCGGCTCAGGGTTTGCCTGGCACAGACTGTCCGTGGTGCAGGTCAGGGAGCCAAAGCTGCCCAGAGAATGGCTGCAGAGGACCCCAGTGCTGGGTCCAAAGGGCTCGGCCAGAGCGCCTTCATGATGGGGGGAGGGGCAACCAAGGGAAGAAAGAAGTGGAGAGTCAGGCAGGACTGGAGCCTGCCCAGTCCCTGGCCATGGGGTTGACAGTTACACCCTGGATCCCCTGGTCTGTTGGCAGCCACTCAAGCCCTTGTCCCCACCCGGCAGAGCCCAGGACAGGGATCAGCCTGTAGAGGGTCCTATCTGCTGGCCTTACTTTGGACACCCCCTGCACCTCTGTACTCTACCCCACCCCCACATGAACACAGTGGGACCTGGGAGTTTCGGACAGCCCCCGAGCTTAGGGCTGGGCCCTAGGCCCAGACTTGCACAGCAGCAACTGAGCTGGCAGCTCAGGACCAAAGCAGAGGAGAGGGAGGAGGCTGCGTGGTGAGGGCAGCTGGGCGAGCCTGGGCTGGTCTTAGTCGGAGTCTGGTACTGGGTGAAATGGGGGTCAAGCCTAGCCCTCCTGCTGCTCTCCCAGAGAAGAGGCCCTGGGGAATGTGCCCAGGCTAAGGTGGCAGTGATTGGGTCAAGATGCAGCACCGGTGGTCCAGGGGCTGCCTCAGTGGAAGGACATCTACCCACCCCCGCCTCAGGGCTGAACAGGGCAGAATGTGCCTGGAAGGCTTCGATTAAAGAACGGATAGAGGTGGCAGGAGTAGCTCTGTGTTCTGGAAGACGCACTGGGCTGAGGCCAGCTCTGGGTCTGGGCCAGCTCTTTCCCTGTTGGAGGCATGGCCTGGGGTCCAGCCCTGATCTAGGCTCAGTGTCCATTCTGAGGGGCCTGGGTGGCCCCAGAGGCCCTTTCTGCCCTGACTGTCTGTTGGTGTTGTCGGCCCTATGCAGGATGGGAACCAAGGGGGAATCACAAAGACTGGCAGCTTCCCAGGGTCCCCTAACAATGGCAGGAAGGCCAAAGTCCCAGGGGTGCCCAGGGATACAAGGACAGCTCTATGCAGGACCAACAAGGGCCTGGCATGAGGAAGGCCTTCAGCCTTGGCCCTGACCCCAGGTGGGTCTGGGTAACCCTTTCTGTGCCACATGATCCCCCTCCACAAGAGAGGTATAGGGAAGTCCTTTCAAAAGTCCCTTAGGGACAGCTGGGAGAGCCTGTGTTCAGGCTACAGAGACAATAGGACAGGGAGATTGAGAAGTTAATCAAGTGAATGGATGACCATAGAGGTCACTGAGCCCTCTCCCCACCCAGCGCCTCCCTCTGACTTCTCCCACCCCTTCAGCCCTGCTCCCCTTCTGAGCTCCCATCCTCCATGCTGGGTCTCCCTGTCCCTCTCTGATCCTCCATCTCCCTGACTTAGCCCTCCCCCATCACTGCACCCCTCTGGACACCAAGGTCCCTCTCCCACATGGTAACCTCCTCCTTTCTCAGAGGTCTCTCATTTTCTCTAAACCCCCACCCCCACCACTTCACTTTCTCGCTTCTTCCTGTCCTCTCCCTCTCTGAACCCCACCCCCATCTCTCTCTGAGCCCTGGTGGCTGAGCTATCCTTTTACAATGCCCTCAGTGGCCTTGTTAAAGATCCTGAAGACCCCTTCTCTAGGCCTCACCAGCCTGAAAGCCTTGAACCCCGGAAGGGACGCCCCAGGCCAATCCCTCAGCCTGGGTGGGAGGAAGGGCAGCTCTGAAAGAGGAGCACTCGGTCCCCACTAAGCAGGCAGCATAGCCTGCCAGCTCAGGCCTCAGGCTGTACTGGCCTCACCTGTGAAGGGGTTGGAGCAGTGCCAATGCTGAGACTGCCCGTGCAGGCACCCTGGGGCTGGGCCTCCCCATCCTCCCCTCCCCTCTCCCTGGGCCCAGATATGACAGTAAGTGACTGCCCCCTGGTGCTCTCCCAGAGACACCCAGATACCTGACACCACCCACCCCAGAACCTTTGAGAATCTCGGCCCAGGTCCTGCCAGGCCCAGAGCAGAAATGGGGGCAGGAGATCCAGTCGTGGAAAACACTGCCACCCCCCAGCCCCACACCTACCATGCCTTTGGCCACATTCGTCTCTGCTCTGGGCCTTGGTCTCCGAAAGCCCTCAAGCCCCCTGGAAGTTCCCTCCCGGAGGACCAGACTCACTCCTTTGACGGCCACCCCTGACTCTGCCTTTGCAGGCTCTGGCAGCCAAGGCTGGATCCCCGGCCCCTGCCCTGCCCTGCCCCATAGGTGTTTCTGTTTCTGTTACTAATCACAACCGGCATGTACTGGGCACCTGTAGCTGCCAGTCACTCCTTAGCTTATTCAATCCTCATAGCAACCGGGCACCGCTGAGAGGCAGCAGAGGATTGCGGTGACACTGGCAGCCTCTGGTGTCCAACTGCCTGGTCTCAAATCCCCGCTGGGGTCCATACTAGCCGTGGGACCGTGGGCAAGTTACTAAGCCTGTTTCTTCCTCGGCAAAATGAAGCTGATTATATGAATGAGTACATGTGAAGCCTGCAGAACAGTGCCAGGAGCACCCAAGCAATGCGAGGCATGTTTACGAGGTAGACTGTGTTATTCCCATTTTACAGACATGGAAACTAACCCTCTGAGAGTTCCTTAGAACTAGAGAAGTTTCACCACATAACTAGGACACGGTAGGATGGGAATTCAAATCTTGAGCTCTTAAGCTTTCTGCCACCGACAGCCTTTCATTTGGAAAATGACAGACACTGCTGAGTGATGGCAATGTCACCTTCTAAACAGTAGCCACACTGAAGCTGATCTTCAGTTGCTAAATCCTGGTGTGATTGTGCCTTGGGCAACCCATCTCCCCTCCTGGACCTCAGATTATTCAGCTCTAAGTGGGGAGATGGGAAGGGCAGAGACTGGGGTGTCTGCACTCGCTAACATTTCTCGGGGAGAGCCTTGGCCGGCCACCACTCATTTCAAAGTTAGAGGTGTCTCTCCAGGAGCGTGGGGGAGGAATAAGAACATGCGCAGGAGGAGGATGGGGCTGTGACTCAGGGCGCAGGCGCAGGTGAGGCTGGAGAGGTAGGTAGCGCCTAGTTGTGAAGGGCCTTGAATGCCAAAGAGATGCAGGGGCTGGCCCTACTGTCCTCTGGACACCAAGTCTGCCCCCTACCTCACCGCCCGGCCATGGGGCCAGCGTGGGAGGTGATGGTCCCTGACAGACCCAAGTCACCATCCCCCTTTGAGCCCTTCCAACTGTCGCGTGGCTCGGGCAAGCTGTACAGAGCCCTGGCTTCCTCTTGGCTGTGGGCATAATGCAACCTCCCGGGGCTGGTTTCAGGATGAGAGCCATGGAGGTAAGAAAGCATGGCAAACCTGCACAGGACAGCAGAGGTGGCGTCGCTCAGACGGGGAAACTGAGGGGCAGGCACCGGTCAAGGGCCCAGCAGGAGCCTGCGGCCTCGCCCTCCCAAACCAGCCCCTTCCACTGACCGGGGCGAAGGACAACGCCCCCTAAAGCGTTGTAAGGCCCTGCAGAGGCCAGACCACGTTACTCCGGGTGACGACGGCGCGCTCGGAGGGCGGAGACCGAGGAGAAAGGGGAGGGGACAGAAGGGAGGAGAATGCCTGCGGTGGGAGGGGGGCCGGGCGGCTGCGCAGGCAGACGCTGGCGCGGGGACCCGAGCCCTAGCAACAGGCCGGCCATTGGAGGGGCGGAGCAGGCTGGCCTGTGATTGGCTCTCGCCACTGCCCGCGAATGGAAGGCGGCTGCGTCCCCGCTCAGCTCACATCCGGGTGTCTGGCCTGTGTTGGAATCTGCGCGATCCCGGCTCGTGAGAGCCCCTAGTTAGTTTTTCCGAGCAGGGTCTCGTCCAGGCCTTACTGGGGCGCGTAGAGCCCGTGCAGGTCGGGACCCCAGGGACTTGGGGATGGGAGGCGACCAGAGAGAAACCCGAGGACGGAGCTCCCCGATGGGCTGGCGCTGGGGGCGGGCTGGGCTCGAGGGCGCTGCCGCCGTTCGGGGGCAGGGCCTGGGGCAGCCGGGCGGGCGGGGCTCCGTCCGTGCCGACCAGCTGCAGAGCCGGGCGGCGCCGCCGGGGGGCGGCAGAGGACGGCGCCACGGGAGACAGCCCCTAGGTGGGGCCGGGGCCCAGACCTGGGCCCGGAAGGATGCTGACCCCTCTCCTCACCCCAGGGCCCTGCGAACCATTTGGTAACCCAAGTAATGGCACAGGGGCGGCCTGACCCGTTGTCGCTGGTGCGTTCTTGGGTGCTGAAGCCCTGATGGATGTGCCAAGCCTGGGGTTTTTTCAGTTTTGTTTTCCTATCTAGGTTCATTTTTGCCCTGTCACTACTAGGCTAGAGAAATATAAATCCTGATTTCCCGCGGGAAGCAATTATTATTATTACTGTTTTTGCTTTCCCCGAGCAGTGGGACATAGTATGTGTTTGTTTGATCTCGGGACGGTATTTAGGCAGATGACATGGAAAGGGACTCACCCAAAATGCTTGCAGCCAGCCACAGCTGCTCATCCTTTATACCGGTTACCCAGCCCGAATTTCCTAAATCTATGTTGTCTCTATTTCAAATGCTATCTCCTAATTTAGGACAAGAATGCATTTTTCATTCTTAGTCTGCCCGCTACCCAACCCTCTCCAACCTAGAACTCTTCACTGAGGGACTACAGCATTCCCACAAGAAATGTGTTTTGTGTGTGTGTGAGGAAGATTGGCCCTGAGCTAACATCTGTTGCCAATCTTCCTTTTTTTTTTTTTTTTGCTTGAGTAAGATTGTCCGTGAACTAACATCTGTGTCAGTCTTCCTCTATTTTATGTGGGATCCCTCTACAGCGTGGCTTGAAGAGCGCCACTAGGTCCATGCCCAGGATCCAAACCTGCAAATCCTGGGCTGCCAAACCAGAGCACATGAACTGGCAGAGCTATGCCACCGGGCTGGCCCACATAAGGAATGTTTTAAAAACAGCAGTTTCCAAACTGAGCAGGCAAAAACACCTGTAAACGGTAATAACATAATACCTCCGTATTTGGGGAGGCAAAGACTTTTGGAGGGCAATTTGCTTTGATAACAAACCTAATGGAATCCATGATGAGCTTTCCATCAGGCTTGTAGGAAGTGACCAACCATAACCCCATCCGTAAAAGCTGGCTTGCCAAGAGAGTGCAAAGAGGTACAAAGTTTTGATGTCTCTTCTTGGCCCCTATTTAAGACCCAGTAAGGAGTAGGGTAATTTGTCCATTATGGTGGGAAGAACCAGTTCACACCAAGATTGTGGTAAGTCTAGATTCATTCTTCTAAGGCAGATTCACTAAGAAGGCAGCCCCTCAAACACACCTGCCTGTTTTGCCACCTCCCCCAGGCATAGAGGCAGAACAGCTGCAGACCACCAGGGGTCAGGAGGCCATGCGTGAAATGGCTTGCTGAATAGGAGCAAGAGCTGACTGAGCACCTATCTAGTACTTTGCCTATCTGGGGGAGGCAGGAGAGGGTTGTGAGGAGGCAAACACCCCAGCCTAGAAGAATCCAGTCAGAAATCAAGATGGTTCCCATGGGTGGCAGGCACTCCCCCTAGCCTGTTCAGAGCTGCATCTTTGTCCTTCTAGACTCAGGTACTAGGCCCTGGTGCTAGCTGTGGCTTAAGAAGACCTGATTCTGGGCGAGAGCCCTGGCCAGCCCCCATTCAATTCCCCGTGAACTGTTGAAAAGGCTGGATGGAGGGACAAAGCAAAATCCTTATGCAAGACAAAACAGTGGGGTGGGGACAGGAATGGGGACAAATTAAATGACAGAGGAGGAAACAATTGGACAAATGCAGAATGAGGGATATTCTGTCTCAGACCACCAAGTACCCTGGTCTCTTGAAAAAAGTCAATGTCGTAAAAGAGAATAGGTGGAAGGAACAGAGGCTAAAGAAACCTAATAATGAAATCCAATTAATGAATTTTAATTTGATCACAGGGGGATGGTTAGAAAGAGCTATCAAAGGCATGGGGACAATTTGGGAACATCTGAATATGGCGCTATTAGGAAATTATTGTTGATTTCCTTACGTGTGATAACAATGTAGTGGTTATGGAAGAGAATGTCCTTATTATTAGAAGAAATATGAACACGGAGTAAAATGTGACACAGGAACTTAATTTCAAGGTTCCACAAGCCATAGAGAATGAGAAAGAAAACATGACAAGAGGTTAACTGCCCTACCAAGCAGCGGGTACTCGATTATCACTGTACCATTATCTTCAACTTTTGTGTTTGATATTTTTCTAAATAAAACGTTGGAGGGAAAGTGCCTCAATACCACCTAGCCACCCTTTAAACAGGGTTAAATCTAGTTCAAGAGGTACTTACTGGGACCACCAAATTTCCATTATCCATAGTTAAAATCACAAGGATCATGACTGGATCCCTTAGGATCCAAGAGTCATTCTATGCTCAAAAGCAGCAAAACTCCTTCCACCTCAAAGCCAGAGTCAAGTCTACTGTCTAAAACTGAGCCAGATTAGGAAGAATTAGAGAACTGTGGTTACCTCTAGGCAGAGGAAATGGGTGGCTGGGAAACAGGCATGGGAGAGAGTTACTGAGAAACTGGGGCTCACCCTACTGGCCAGAGAGTAAATATTTTAAGCTTCATGGGCAACCATACTGTGTCTCTTCGCACATTTTTTTTTTTTTTTTTTTGCTGAGGTAGAGTCACCCTGAGCTAACATCTGTTGCCAATCTTTCTCTTTTTGGAGCTGCCACCACAGCATGACCACTGACAGATTACTGGTGTAGGTCTACGCTTGGGAACTGAACCTGGGCTGCTGAAACAGAGCGTGGAACTTAACCACTAGGCCACCAGGGCTGGCCCGCCCTTTTGTATTTTTAACATGCATGCACTACCTACTCAAATAAAAACCAAAAAATCATAATGTTCCCCAAAGTTACTCCTATTGATTTTCCTCTCCCATACTATGGATAATTGAGTGCCATTTCAGAATATTACTTAAACTGGGAAATCCTGGTCCATCTGTCTTGCCAGGTGTAGATTAAGCATGAAGATGAGATACCAGCAATCCTTGACCTGGTACTGAGGACTCTTGTCAGTGACCCAGCCACTCTCGCCACAACTCCTGCCCCACCACAGGTATCTGGTTCATTGGGGGCAGGGTTTGTGGCCATTCAGCTTCAACCACATTTATGCACACCAGAACTGGAAAATTCAAACCAGCAGGCTAATTAGCAAGCTGGTCTACCACATTCAAACGTTCTGATTAGGCTGGTGACGACTTATGTCACCTCCTAGAAACAGAGAACAGTGTTACCCAGCGGTTTTCAGGTTGTTTCTCCAAGCTTGCTTTGAGGACTGTGCACCCAGGAGGGAGCTGCCATTCTAAGCTATCAGATCAGCTGGTGAGTCAACACGCAGGTTCAGCTGACCAGCGCAGAGGCCAATGCATGTGGTAATTACACACAAATAGAGTAGGGGAAACTGCACTTGTCTGCACTGCACCTTATCTGCTACAGATGGTCCCCTGCCACTAAATCTCATTCGATTCCACCCACAAAGTGCTAGGAATGGAGAGCTCTGCTCTGTGTGCATGCCCAGAGCAGAGGGGATTATTCACTCTTTTATAATTACTCTCGTGCCCTACCAATCACCTTTATTTAATTGCTCCACTCAGTTATTTTTTAAGTTCTAGAGTCCGTTGAGGACGAGGACCTCTGTCATTGGTGCCTAATCCAGGGCACCATTCAGTTCCTGGATTAGGAGAACTTTCTTTTTTTTTTTTGAGGAAGATTAGCCCTGAGCTAACATCTGCTGCCAATCCTCCTCCTTCTGGTGAAGAAGACTGGCCCTGAGCTAACATCCGTGCCCATCTTCCTCTACTTTATATGCGGGACGCCTGCCACAGCATGGCTTGACAAGCGGTGCCATGTCCGCACCTGGGATCTGAACCAGCGAAACCCTGGGCCGCCAAAGTGGAATGTGCACACTTAACCACTGTGCCACTGGGCCAGCCCCCAGAGAACTTCCTTAACCTCAGCTCTTTAGGGCTATTCTTTCCTAACTACCTGTCCTTGTGATGACAGATGTTTTTTCAAATACTTTGGCTCAAACACCAGACCACAACAAAGTGAATGCAGAAGCAGCTATGGGAGTCCAAATGATTTCTGCTAAGAGATCTGCAAAACTGTCAAACAATGCTACTCTTCTATTTTTTGTTTTGGAAAACAATCAGTTTCCATGAAATTCTTCTGTATCTTAACATGTAATGAGTTAAACAACTATTTTTAATTTCTGGTTTTTGATATACCCCATGTAAACAAAAGCTCTTTAAGAGTTGTGTAAAGGGGTCCTGAGATGAAAAAGTTTGAGAACCACTGCATTCAGGAACTCTTAAAACTGGGTAGAAACGCAGCGACAGCATTTTATCTCAAGAGAAACTTAAGTGTCTGTGGAAATCCTCTGAGCAAGTTCCAGTCGTCTTTTTTTTTTTTTTTTTTTTTTGCTGAGGAAGATTCACCCTAACATCGGGGCCAATTTCCCTCTCTTTTGTATGGGGGCTGCTGCCACCGCATGGGTGCCACTGAGTGGTGTAGGTCTGTGCCCAGGAACCAAATCTGGGCTGCCAAAGCAGTGTGTGCCAAACTTAACTACTTGGCCTTGGGGCTACCCCAGCCCCCAGCTTTTTTCTCCAAATTCCAGTCTTATGTCAAATTCCAGGCATTCGTAATGGGAAGTTACACCAAGGAACAAGAGTAATCATGGCAACTTCCAGGAGCTACCCTTCTCTCTGAAGAGCTCTGGTGAGCCTGTATTTTAAATAAACTTGACTGTTCTGACCTTGCCCACACCCGTACTTTCCTGTTGGCAAGACATCTGATTTGTCTCTGTGCCCTCCGTAACTCCCACAGTAAAACAGCTCAGTCCACTTGGGCTGCAGGTTGCCTGCTGCTCACTCGGGCAGAAGCAGCCTGGTGTGAGCAGGCAAAACTCAGAAGGACCGAAGCCTGGGGCTCCGATGTGGGTCCCAGGGAGCTGCAGGACCTTAGGCACACCTGTCACTTCCACTTCCACAGGTGTACTTGTAGCAGCATGCTTAGGGCGCTTCAGAGTGACAAGTGAGCCAACACAGGCGGATTCATTCAGTACATGGCAAAAACCTAGTCACACCAAGTGTTGTTCCTAAAATGTGAATTAAAATTACCCCCCAAATTAAAAAGCCATCCTCTTCTACTGCGCGAACCAATGCTCCCTCCCATTTGCTGGAGCATGCCCAAGCTGGTGGCAGAGGAAAACTTTTTGTCCAGGCATTCCTTCCTGTAGACAAATCTCTCCTCACAGCTGGTCATGGCAGAACCCCCCACACCTAGGGAGGCGTTCACGAGGTGGGCACATCCTGACAGCTGTCATCCGCAACGACGGGCTGTTGAGAGCTCGGCCCATCCCAACTAAGGCTGCTGACCACCTCAGAAGGACTAAAAGACCCAAGACAATTTGTTTAAGAACACTTTTAAGTGCAAAGAACCAGCTCATCTAAGACTTAGTGAGATCTCCAACAATACGGCGCACCTAACTGAGATGCCAAAGCAGGCACGGGACCCAGCCGGATTCAGACCCACACCTCCAAGGCTCAGTTTAGTAATCTGCCCAAGGACCAAAAGGAGCCATGGTTCAAACTCGGGCCTCCAGAGAGGCCTTCAGAGATCTAGGTGAAAGCGCTCATTCTGTGAGAAAGACTGGAGGCCCAAAAGGGGCAGTGAGTTTTCCAGGTCAGTAAACCCAGGTGTAGTTCCCAGATTCGGGTGCTTTCCAATATATACTGTCTTGCCCCTTCTTCCCTCGAATCCAAACTCATTCTTTGAGTGAGGGAGGAGGAATACCAATGTCCAATCGAAACTGTGAAAGCAAAGCAAAAATTAAAGTCATTAAATAAAACTAAGTAGCACTGACATCAGATCTGTAAGTTTATTTGCTCAATGTACGACAGCTACATAATGACTCACATTCATGATATTCCATCACTGAGGAAAACTGCTAAGAATGGTCCGTGTGTGAAATAATTCCTTAGAGAAACACGGAGTTGGAAAAATAATCACTGATTAGACCTTAAAAATAGTTCACTGCATAACATGACAAAAAGCACAAAGGCTCATTCAGAGAACATAGTCATTGTTCTCCTACACTGTAATAGTTATAATTTCACCATGACAAACACCAGACATTAAGATTAAGCTAACACTGGTGTTTCTTTTGCTCCCCCCCCCCACCCTTTAAAAACAAAATATATAACTGCATGTCACTATAGCAACATCCAAAACAGATCAATTTGTTACGATCACTATTTGGTAGAGCAAACTTTACCCCCAAAAGAAAAAATTAAATTAAAAAAACTTTAAAAAATTTGAAGACTTAATTTTTTGTCATAGGAATACATAACACCTACAGTATAAGTTAATAAATTTCAAGCTACTGTATAGAAATACAACACTAGCATGCACAATATTGTATCAATAGAGTAATGGAGGAGTAACCATTTCACTGGGGAGACAGTATCATAGGCAAGTGCATTTCTTTAAAAATAAAGAAAGAAAAGAAACCATTCAAGCTGCTTAAATATCAAGTCTCCCACTCCCTCTTCATTTTCAGCCCTCAGGTATGATTTTATCTTGCATTATTCTAAAAAGCAGCCAGAGCCAAAGCTGAAATTTAAAAGAAAAATAGGTTTTGTAATTCCAGTAAATCATTTCCAAATGCTACAAGGAAGGACACAACACTGCTCACGGGACATGAAGAGAAGTTAAGGAAAGCCCCACCTACCCCCCCAAATCTATTCCCATCCATGGCATTGACTGTAGGCCCCGATAACGGCACAAAAGCTGGTAAGCTTTCCTCTGTTAGTTCTTCTGGTAGGTTCAGGTAATTGGGACTTCTGCTCTAGCATGTGGAGGGAACCTTCTAAGGAAAGTCATGCTGGGCAAACTGTGCAATATTACAGAGTATCACCATCATTCTTCTATCTTCACTGTCACCTGGATCCTGTTAAATGTATTCACTTCATACTTGTAAGCCCAATTTTAGAATCAGCAAAAGCAACTGTCAGTTTTTCCTCAATTATCATTCATATCTCTCCTTGCCTGACTAAAACAAACAAAACAAGTCTGGTGTCGTTACCTATCTCGGGAGTTCACAGTTACTGATCTTATAAAAACGGCTGAACACACACTCAACAGGTCATGTTTTCAGACAGATTTATCCAAAACAAGAACGAAGGCCCCAAGGCTAACTGAAAACAAATTTGTGGAAATAGCAATGTAGTTTCTTTCCTTCAATTCCAAAATGTGCACTGATTGCACAAGAGACAAATGAATCTCCAACTTCTATGCTTCCATTAAAAAGAAAAAAACATATAGAAAAAGTTTTGGTCAAATAGGACTTAAGTATTTATTATCTGCTGATTTTAGTTTATCTTCCTACAACAATTACTTGGGGAAGGAGTGTCTTCAGGGAGGAAAAACTGACACACTTACAAGGCTCCCGAAATTGGACAGAATGTTTATGAATAGAGCTCTTCCTTCTGGATTTTTCCACCAGTAAGCTTCTAGCACCTGAATTTTCACACACTGCACCACCAACTTTCTCAAAATGATCTCCCAGCTTCTACAACCCATTAGCTTCTCTGAGAGCCATGAGCACAAGGTACAGTGGCGCACCTTAAGGTACACCCAACTGAGAGCCATCGGCGTAAGGTACAGTGGGGAAGACCCAAGTGAAGAGTGAGATGGCAGCGTAATCCCTGAGGAAGGAGCTGTGGCAGCTTAAAAATCAGGATTTCTCTGAAAATATCAACACAATAAATGACATACAGACCTGAATTTTCTCTATTTTTGTGGTGTTTAACGTTTCTATTAAAGTGATTACTAATTTTTGTGGTGATTTAAGTTGAGAGGAAAGAAGGACAAAAATCCCACAGCCACCTGCCAAGCACCTATTAACCAAAACCTAAAGTAGCTCTGATTCTCCTCAGGCAAGCCTTTTGGCCTAGGAGACAGATAACAGCAAAACCAACCTGGATAAGGCTGAATAAGGATGTAAAGCCAAAATAACTAGCAAAGAAAAATACACAATCGATGGCTTGATGTTACATATGGCTGTAATGTAGAAATACTGTAAACTGCAATTTAGTGTTAATACTGTCAACTAATCAGAGACTTCAGAAAACTGGCAAGGCCTAAATCACAAGGATAAATACACCTTATGTTCTAAGTCTGCCAGTTTGGGATTTAAACTATTCCATGTCTGGTAGAGTACGCCCTAAAAAAACTGCACAGCTAAAACAGATGAGATAGAAAGTACCCAAAACTTAAGACAAGAGCATATGTACATAAAAATCCTTACTGGAACCACAGAACTTATTGAATGAGGGCCATTCCATTTAAGTTTTCTTTTCATCTTAAACCCTATTACCTAGCAATAAGTTAAATTAAAGACAGACAGCTCCACTTGCATGAATCTACAGAACAGTCCATATGCCAGTGTGAGGCTGCTATTCCAATACCAGCACAGCTAGCCTGACTTTCCACTAGTGGTATTTTGGCAAAAATGTCAAAGAGGCGATCAAAGACAGGACAGGTCGTGGGTTTCTCCCTAGGAAGGTCAGCCCTCCCTTTCCCTCCCCCACCCGACCCCAACTCATGGGAAAAAAATAAAGACTGCAGTAGTAGCATCAGCGTGCGCTGCCAGTCCACCTGGGGGCCTTAATTGTTGCCTTCTCCACCATCGTCGTCTTGCTGATCGCTTGTCCAGAGCGTTAGGTTGTCACGGAGGAGCTGCATGATGAGAGTGGAGTCCTTGTAGGAGTCCTCGTTGAGAGTGTCGAGCTCAGCGATGGCGTCATCGAAAGCGGTCTTGGCCAAGTGGCATGCTTGCTCTGGGGCATTCTGGATCTCGTAGTAGAAAACGGAGTAGTTAAGAGCCAGGCCTAATCTAATGGGGTGAGTAGGCTGCATGTGCTCCTTGCTGATCTCATGGGCTTCGCTATAGGCCTTCTCAGATGACTCCACGACAGTTGCCCTTTTCTCTCCAGTGGCTACTTCAGCCAGGTAGCGATAATAGTCCCCTTTCATCTTCAGGTAAAACACTTTGCTCTCATACTGGGTCTCACTGCAATTCTTGATCAGGTAGTTATCCAGCAGGCTCAGCACATCCTGACAGACCGCTTCCAACTCCTTCTCTATTTTTTCACGGTAAGCACGGACCATCTCTATCTTCTTCTCATTGCCATCTGCAGAGGTCTTCTGCTCAATGCTACTAATGACCCTCCAGGAAGAACGGCGTGCCCCAACCACATTCTTGTAGGCCACAGAAAGGAGGTTTCTTTCTTCATTGGACAGCGGCTCATTCAGCTCTGTCACCTATTAGAGACAGAATAAAGAGTTGTTATGGTACAGATGATGTCAGTTGGGTTAATCATGTTTATGCCACTAAAACACAAACAGTGATTAACAGATAGAGAAGTCAGGCTATGGGGTTGTATGGAAGGCGGATGGAGGTGGAACAAGCAACAAAGAAGGAAAAAACTGCAGCCAGATCAATGGTGCCTGAACCCCTGCTTCCTCCCTAGAAGAGGACACATGCTTACCACATAGCTGTCCCATGAAAGAACTAGCAAGTCTAGCTCTTACATGAGAAATCAAATTTTGATCTAAATGGCAAAAAGTCCACAGTTCTATCATGTAACATTACATACATACCAATCCTGGGTATTTTAAGTCTAGATGGCTTATAAACCTCAACAGTTTTTTAAGAAAACAGAATGACAGTTGCCTTCTAATCTTGCCCTGTCTGCTAAGCTTGAGTCCCACTCCTTCTGGGTGAGAATATATTGAGTCAACTTCAGGATGACTTTTAAGAAACTAGGAGGCTTTTGTGCTCGTGTTTGATCATATGAATTATAAACCTCAGAAAGAAAGTCAAAATTGGGACCATGGGATTGAGTCTGACCACTGAGATGTTTTCGCCACTTGGGGAACTCGTATTCCTTAGTGTCTGACTGAACACAATTAGCAATACAAAAGATGGAGGGATGAGCTAGTACTTCGGAGCTGAGGTGGCCAACAGGGATTAACCTTCTTTCAATAAGGGCATTTCTAAAGGTTTCTATCTTCATCATCCCAAAGACTAATCACCTCAAGGAAACAAGCACCACCACACCAAGGTTCTACATTTTTATGACTACCAAACAACTGCTTATAATAAAGAAATTAAGTCATCACAACGCTACATTTGATTTATTTTACCTGATTTCTGTGATATCCGTCATATACCATTGTCTGATAACCACAGGAAACAGAAAATTTTACAAGAAGGCAAGAGCTCTGACTTTTCATTCCTATTGTGAGGCCACAATTTTACGTGTCTGGTAAACTCTCATATCCATGCCGCTGTATGCTAAGTCCATGGCTCAGTTACAACATCGGGAATCCCAGACCATTCACTATTTCCTAAGTCTTACATAAGACTAGACACTTCCTCACCTCATCCCCACATGTACCCAGTCATAACGTGTTAACTGCCAAAACTGCATACTTCTGCCCTTTGTTCTTCTGCCCCTGCCTAGAATACGTGTCAGTGTTCCTGCCTGGAAAATACTTTCACACTGGTCAAAAACCAAGTTAATATTCATGTCCTCTATGAAATCTTTCCCATCTCTCCTCCTCCTACTCCCAGTCAAATTGGCTAAAGTCCTCACTCTCCCCGTGTAGATGAACCATAGCATCAACATAACATTATATTATTTATAGATGTGAAAGGCGGGGATATAATCCAAAAAGACATATCAAACCCTTTTGGGGTGGGTTAGGATACCAAGAGACTCTGTACGTATACCCCATTTCCATCCAGTACGTACCCCATTTTTTTTAAGCCTAAAGGATCTTTTTTTTTAACACTTTTTTTTTTTTTGGTAAGGAAGATTGGCCTTGCAGGTAACAACTGTTGTCAATCTTCTTCTTCTTTGTTTCCCCCCAAAGCTCCAGTACATAATTGTATATCCTAGTCTAAGTCATTCTAGTTCTTACATGGGACGCCACCACAGCATGGTTTGATGAGGGGTGTACAGATCCACCCCCAGGATCCAAACTAGAGAACTCCGGGCCACCAAAGCAGAGCCCACAAACTTAACCACTCAGCCACAGTGCTGGCCCCTATACTCCACTTTTATAATCGAGGGGGAAGAGGAGGGTTATACTTAGTGAAACTGGTTGTGTAATTCAAATAGCATCTCTCAGAAATAATTAAATCACAATGTAAACCAAATCATACTTATTAGTTTACTGTAAGCAATTCAGTCTTTGAACTGATCATGCACTGCTTACTAATGCTCACAATAGCCAGTAAATGATAGACAGTCAAGTATCTCCTAAACTAGTAGTTTCCTAAATGAGTCGTTTTTCTTATGTTAACCTTTCACTATGCTTACCGATTTCCCACTATAATGCTAGAGGACAACAGTACCTCTACCAGACACAGGCTAGTGAAATAGACTGCAGTGTGGCAGAACGGGGGTTTGGTACCGCCGGGCTTCAGAGCAGAAGGAAACCAGGACAGAGGTGCTTTCTGCTCCATGACCCCCTACCCCACTCCCCTGTGGAAACTGCTTCTCCTGAATAACGAGGCTTATTATCTCATAGCCAATTTTTCATATATTCTAGGCTTTAAGACACTATTCTCAGCCCTGAGACCGCTGTCACTTCTATTGATTTCTGATGTATATTCAAATAACCCAGAAGACTGGGGTTTCCCCAGTCTCACCATTTGCAAAGTAACTTTGGGGGCAAACCAGTTCATCTCTCTGGGTCTTGATTTTCTTATCTGCAAAACAGAGATCTCTGCCTCTTTCATAACATTCTAAGTATATATCACACAAATGATAAAGCACTCCTGACAAAGTAAAGTGCTGTAGGGAGGTGGGCAATTACTCTTGAGAATATCTTGAACAATTTTCCTTCATTTTAATTCTCACACAGGAGGCCTCTAAATTTCTTACAGTAACAATCTCCTAGCTTATCTTCCTATTTCAACTATCTCTTCTCCATTTCATCCTGTTCTCTATTCTACGCTGAAACTTCCTTAGCTACCTTACATCACTTCCCTTCCATAAGCCTTAGTATCATATAGCCTGAAAATACTCCCCAGACTGGCTTTCAAACAAGCTGGGGCCTCTGCAGGCCTCGGGCACGCACACCATAGAACTGGAGCCCGCACTCACTGCCTGTGCAGACAGTGAAGACAGCCGCCTCTGGTGCAACTTGGCAACTGTCTCCAGTGCAAGAAGCCAGAGTGCCTGAGGCCACTGAGACTGAGTTCTGGCCTGTCCCCTAAATCATGTTATCCTTCTTTCAAGAGCCAGCAACTATTTAAGGTTCAAATTACCTCACCAGTATGCTATAGGGTGAGGTCTCCTCCCGCTGCAAAAGAAGTTCGGTGGCAGAGCCCAAAGGTAGCAAGCTGTGCTCGTGTAAAGTTTGCCTAGTTGCCTCACACCAACTGGAACCTGCAGATTATGAAATGCCAATGTCACCTTTAGATATACTAACTCAAGCACATTCGGAACATACCCAGATGTTCTCTGCCACTGAAAAACTAAGTTAGAGGGAAAAACTTTAAAAAGTCTGCTCAAAGGAAAGTGAGGTTTCTCTAAGAACTGTAAATCAGAATTTTTAAAAATCCTTAAGATCAAAATGGCTTGCATAAGAATTAATCTGTGATTTTTACATTAAAATAAAGTAGAGATCCCAACTATAGTAGTTTTAAAAGGTCAAAGGATAATTTTTTAAAAGGAAAAGAATTATTCCTCCAGTGTCCAAAAAAGATTTAAGCAAGATAGAATGGTTATTCAATGTGGGAAGATGTGAGAAATGTCTCACTTTGGAAGGGAGGGAACATTTTCAAAACAGTCACTGAATGGCTTCTAAGAATGCAACACTCACAAATAAAATCCCCCAAATTCACTGTCACGTCTGTTGGAAAACGTATAGTTTGTATTCTCCGGCACTGCACTTATAAGGTATATAAATAAAAACGTGTAGTTTGTCTTCTCTAGCATTGTGGTCTCCTTAAAAACAAACAAAACTAATCAACTCCTATGCTAACAGCTCAAGGCCAAATTTCTTTTAGCCAGAGAGCTATTAGCAAAAAGGTTAGAAAAATCTGTTATTCTCAGCCACAGGTTAAGAAACAAAACTCCCCAAAGCCCAGCTGCTAAGGAATCAGATCTTAACCAGCATCAACTGCTCTCCCCTAAGAGTTGAAGAGAAAAATCCTTCCTACCTAAGATTAGAAACCCTTGAGATTCTTGGAGAGCTATTTATGTGACTTTCCGACCCTAAGTCTTGGAGTACCAACTCATTCACAATTTCCTCAACTTATCTATCAAGAACCTTAAATTGTAATGAATGCAACTTCAAATGTTTAATTGTCTTAAATAAGATAAAACTTAAACTAAGTTTACTTTATTTAAAGGTATTTCTATCTTGCAGAATCTTGCGTACAAGTTACAAAGTAACAGTTATGGTGGTGAACAAAGGACACATTGATTTAAGAAAGCTGAAAATCGCCAAATTTAAGTTCACATCCAAAAAACAGGAGGGATGAATAGGCGGAAAAAAGGATTTTTAGGGCAGTGAAATTATACTCCAGCATACTCTAATGATGGATACATGTCATTACACACTTGTCAAAACCCAGAGAATGCACACCACCAAAAGTGAACCCTAATATTAAGTATGGACTTTGGGTGATAATGACGTGCCAATGTAGGTCCATCGATTGTTCTAACAAAGGTACCACTGTGGGATATTGATAGTGGGGGAGGCCGTACATGTGTAGGGACAAGCAGTGTATGGAAACTGTGTTTTCCGCTCAATTTTGCTATGATCCTAAAACTGCTCTAAAAAATAGTCTATTAAAAAACAAACAAACAAAAACTAGCAGATGGGGCTGGCCCAGTGGTGTAGTGGTTAAGTTTGCGGTCTCTGCTTCAGCGGCCTGGGGTTCGCCAGTTTGGATCCTGAGCGTGGACTTATGCACCACTTGTCAAGCCATGCCGAGGCAGCATCCCACATATAAAATGGAGGAAGATGGGCATAGACGTTAGCTCAGGGCCAATCTTCCTCAGCAAAAAGAGGAGGATTGGCGGCAGATGTTAGCTCAAGGCTAATCTTTCTCAAAAAAACACAAAAAACAAAAACAAAACTAGCAGACATTAAGTATAACATTTGGCCTCACCATGCATTTTTTGTCCTCCTAGGTTTGGAATACTATTACCTGAAAGGGCCAAGAGGCCATGAAAAAAAAAAAAATGCAGTGATTGCTATATATGAACACCCTACACCAAAAACATAAGAATAAGAAA